TTCAACTTTATCTGGAAAATAAGATTCTCAAGGCCGGTAGCTGTTATTGCTCTTTACAGTATTGACAATATTTTCCTTCCTAGCCTTTATCTTTGAAGTAGTATCGACCGTCAACAATTTGATTATCATTGTTTTTCGTACATTATTTACATTATTCGGTCATTATTGTGCCCCCCCCCTTTTTTGCCATATTTATTACAACGTTTCGGCTGTTGTACGCTACGGCCTTCTTCAGTGGTTGGAATGTCGAATTGAATCCTTTATTTCGCTCATTAGGGTAGACTGTTCTAGTTCCACGTGCCATATCTAATGGATGTCAATTATCAGTTATCTCCTGTTAATTTCCCTCTGAGCGAAATAAAGGGTTCAGTTCGACATTCCAACCACATAAAGAAGACCGGAGCGTACAAAAGCCGAAACGTTGTAATAAATATGGAGACAGAAATGAGGACAATAGTTCGAATAATGTAAATAATGTATATAATACCTCATCTCAGAAATATAGATTGTTTTTCGGGTTACGATAGAGTGATGTTGACTAAAGTGTAATACATTTGCCTAAAAGGTGGACATATGAAGTGCATATTATGAGGATATGGTGGATAGATATCGACATGATTGGGAAAGTATCCCCGCGGGAGTCTGTTCCACAACTACGAAACATTATCTACTTACTTTCTGTCACCTCCAGCCTGATCTGTCTTGCATGTCAAAATCTTAGATGCAGGAAAGTTTCTACGAAAAATCACGCTATAAGATTATTATTTTGCCTAAGCTTTCAGAAAAGGAAGATATTTTATCCATTGTCAGTTTTGACAAGAGTAAAATATAATGAGGATATTTAGGAAATCTCAACCACAAGTTTGTCTATTTTTTTTAAACTGAAGTCCCGCCATCACGGTCATCCAGTAACGGACCGGTCAAGTTCTGCGCTTCTCTGATAACGGGTGTGAACTTGTCCGATCACAAGTGATAGTGGGTTACTTATGGATTGGACCCCTTATATCAAACAAAAATACAATAAAAGAAACAAACACAGGCATGTCTTTTAGTAATGAAAATCAATAAGAATTTTATAAAGTCTTATGCACAAGATTAGTTACACAAGACTAATACGAGAAATATCATGAAGAGAATGTAAGAAATACGCTTTCTGTGGAAAATTTAGAATCGAACATCCCTTGAAAAGAAATTGTTCGATGAATGTTATAGTGAAACAACGTAACTCACCCCGATAGTGATGGGAGATAATAAAAGACGTGACGAACTATTGTAGTGTTATACTACCTATTCTTTGGTAATGGACTCTCCCATAGATAATAAGTAGGAGTAGCAGTGGCAAGTCTGGCAGAATGTTGTTGAGCGGTCTCTGACTGTGCACGCCTCCTGTCGAACTCTCTGCGTTAGCAGAGAGGAACCCGGACGGGGATTTGCCGAAGGGCAAGGTTTCGTCCGGGGAGGTAGACAGGGCCTGAACCCGTCTAATCGGTTTCAAAGGCTATTTTTTGGCCGAGCCTACGGGCTCGGAGAAACCCACAATAAAACCGGCCTTGTGCCATATTCGTTTCCCGTGGGTGAGATGATAAATACCGAATGTTGTTGAGCGGTCTCTGACTGCGCACGCCTCCTGTCGAACTCTCTGCGTTAGCAGAGAGGAACCCGGACGAGGCTTTGCCGAAGGGCAAGGTTTCGTCCGGGGAGGTAGACAGGGCCTGAACCCGTCTAATCGGCTTCAAAAGGCTATTTTTTGGCCGAGCCTACGGGCTCGGAGAAACCCACAATAAAACCGGCCTTGTGCCATATTCGTTTCCCGTGGGTGAGATGATAAATACCGAATGTTGTTGAGCGGTCTCTGACTGCGCACGCCTCCTGTCGAACTCTCTGCGTTAGAGAGAGGAACCCGGACGAGGCTTTGCCGAAGGGCAAGGTTTCGTCCGGGGAGGTAGACAGGGCCTGAACCCGTCTAATCGGCTTCAAAAGGCTATTTTTTTGGCCGAGCCTACGGGCTCGGAGAAACCCACAATAAAACCGGCCTTGTGCCATATTCGTTTCCCGTGGGTGAGATGATAAATACCGAATGTTGTTGAGCGGTCTCTGACTGCGCACGCCTCCTGTCGAACTCTCTGCGTTAGCAGAGAGGAACCCGGACGGGGCTTTGCCGAAGGGCAAGGTTTCGTCCGGAGAGGTAGACAGGGCCTGAACCCGTCTAATCGGCTTCAAAAGGCTATTTTTTTGGCCGAGCCTACTGGCTCGGAGAAACCCACAATACAACCGGCCTTGTGCCATATTCGTTTCCCGTGGGTGAGATGATAAATACCGAATGTTGTTGAGCGGTCTCTGACTGCGCACGACTTCTGTCGAACTCTCTGCGTTAGCAGAGAGGAATCCGGACGAGGCTTTGCCGAAGGGCAAGGTTTTGTCCGGGGAGGTAGACATGGCCTGAACCCGTCTAATCGGCTTCAAAGGCTATATTTTTGGCTGGGCCTACGGGCTCGGGCATACCCACATTAAAACCGGCCTTGTGCCATATTCGGTCCTCGTGGGTGGAACGATAAATACTGAGTGTCATCTCGCGGTCTCTGACTGCGCTCGCCTTCTGTCGAACTCTCTGCGTTAGCAGAGAGGAACCCGGACGAGGCTTTGCCGAAGGGCAAGGTTTCGTCCGGGGAGGTAGACAGGGCCTGAACCTGTCTAGGCGGGTTCAAAGGCTATATTTTTGGCCGGGCCTACGGGCTCGAGGATACCCACATTAAAACCGGTCTTGTGCCATATTCGGTTCTCGTGGGTGGAACGATAAATACTGAATGGTGTTGAGCGCGTCAGTCGAGATTCGGACATCTGAAGTACCAACCATCACAACTAGATTGCTGCGCCATTGACTCTTATTTTCCAAGTACCTAACGTTTTGTACGTCGGACCTTATTTAGACGTATTAGAAATACAAGCCTCCACTGTGAAAATACTCCACAACAGGTAGTGACAAGAGTAGAAACACTACAGACCTCCATGACGTAACACTAGTTTTCGTTGTTATTATTACGAACTCTTATTCATTGTTCTTTCCGTACAATAAAACCTTGTTATTTGTTTACATTATTCCTGTATTAGTGTACTCTTTCCACTCGGGATTACCTGGTTGCTTATATCGTATTATCCACGATATAACAATGAATTAGATGCAGAAGTATTTACTGATAGATTCGCACTGTCATTTAATAAAAATAAAATATTTCTCTTAATATAGGGAACACCATATAATTCCTTTGAACTATTATTACTGATTACATTTTGCAGGTAAATATTTAAAAATATAAACTTAAACTTAGAAAGAACAAATAAATATTCATATAATGTTCTCTATTTTCATTTGGTATTAATTAGTCAAGTCGAACGTGAGAGAACATTTTCGAAGCTAAAGATTATAATGAAAGGGTTAAGGGATTCGCTTTCTGTGAAAACTTTAAAATCGTACACGTTGCTCTCCATCAGAAAGATATTGTTAGATTAATTGGATGCAGAAGCCGTTATTGATAGATTCGCTTTATCATTTAATCACGACAAACGATTGCTCTTAATATAGGGAACACCATATAATGTCTGTGAACTATTGTTACTGTGTAAATTTTGCAGGTAACTATTTAAAAATATCAAACTATTAAACTTAGAAAGAATAAATAAATATTCATATTAAAACATTCTGTTTTTTCATTTGGTAAAAGTTATTCAAATCGAACGTGAGAGGACATTTTCAAAGCTAAAGATTATAATTCCAAGGTAAAGAAATTCGCTTTTTGAGGAGAATTTAGAATCATACGCGTTGCTATCCATTAAAAAATGAATTGTTAGATGATATGAATGCAGAAGCAATTATTGTCAGATTCAAACAATCAACCAGTGAACACAAACGATTTCTTTTAAAATAGTGAACATCATGTAATAATCCTTTGTGTGTTTGAAGTTTCTGTTAATGTGTAAATTGTGCAATAAACTATTTAAAAATATAAACCAATTGCTCAAAATAGAAAAATAAATAAAAAAATCACTCTGTATTTACATTTGGTACCTATTCCCATATACACTTTGCTAATACATATACTTTCCACAGAGAATTTAATCAAAACCTCTTTTCCATATGTATTTTTTTTTTAATTTTATTTATTCGTCGTAAAAATTAAATGATAGCATTCTTGTTGAAGTTGGATCTCTCCTCTGTCTCCTAGCAACCGATATTTTCAAATCCTATCTGCCAATTTGTGCATCTATTCTTGACTTTTCTTGAAAGTAATTTAATAGAACGCGACCGACAAAATCAGTACACATTCGTGTCCGAAGTGATTAATTGTCTTTAGATTTAATCTTAATAGGAAAGAAATTAGGGAAAACAGATTGAATTTAAATGTGAGTATCGGTTGCCAGGTTATCGGGCAGCAAGAACATTCTAACAAGCTAGTATAAATATAGGCAGAATATATGGTTAAAAACCCCTATAATAAATACAATCATTCCTTCATATAATGTTTTTTTAATTGGGTTTTTACGCGGCATCGCTTGGTAGAGGTAATCTCTAGTTAAAGTCAAAGGGTTGCTGGTGGAATCAATGACCACATGTCGATGACTCAGATAAGCTTTCAAATTAGAGAACACCGGCCACTGTGTGACCAGGAGAAGGTGTACTTGTTTAAGGCTCGCTGGATTTGAATGAATCTCCATCCGGGTTTCAACCCTAATATGGAGAGGGAATCCACGACCATATCAAGCAAGGAGAGTGTAATGATGAGAATTATGATGTAGCGTTTCGGCCGATCGTTTCATCGGTCTTCTGTACTGTAGAAAAAAAAAAGCCAGTGACCCTCGTTATCGATAAATCTGGAACCATTCACTTATACTGAATGTGTTCAGGTCATGACATTTCGGCATCTCCAGTGAACAGACTTCTGCAACAAAATCTCAGCCGATTTGTTCTGCGGCCTTATATAAATATTTTTCCCAGATATTCCTACCTTTTCTTCATTGAACGACATACTCACCTTCAGAAGCAAAGTGGCTCTATTAATTCAAAATACGAGGATGTGATTATTTATTTACTGATTGTGAAATATCTGTGCGCACAAACATTCACCCTGCCATATATATATATATATATATATATATATATATATATATATATATATATATATATATATATATTACAATGAATCATTCATACAAAAAGTAAATTAGTAAAATTAATGATATAAAAAAGCGAAATACCTTCGCTAACAAAATTTTGATGGTGCATTAACCTACCAATAATTCGATTAATGTTATGATCCTTATTTTTTTTTAAATTATGAGCTGTATAATATCTTTCGTAAATACGCAAGTACTTTCGACTGTACATTCAGTCATCTTCAGACATGGAAATCATTTTGCTTTTGGTAAAATTCAGGTAGCATCCGAGACCAAAAAATATAATGCGAATCGAAATGTCTTCATTTTTTTTCTGTTTTTTTTTTTTTTGTTAATGTGTTATTAATAACGGATACAAACATTTGTCTGATTTTTTTTTAAATTTTAGTGAGTGCGTTTTTTTTTTTTACTGATATGGCAATTAGAGAATTTGTTGTTGTAGGAGCTTATCGGTCAATGTGGCATGAACTAAATAGTTCAATAAATAGAGCCATGTCTCAGTTGTTATCCCGAAAATTTGCACGTCGGATCAGTTCTTTTTAAATCAAATATGGGTTGCAGTTCAATTTATATTACACGGAATTATGCATACAAAAAGTAAATTAGTAAAGTTAATAATATAAAATGGCGAAATCCTTTTGCAAACAAAATTTTTAAAGATGCACTAACCTACTAATCAGACGATTAATGTCATAATCCTTGTATTTTTTTTAAGTATAAGCCCTATATATATATATATATATATATATATATATATATATATATATATATCGAAATGTAACAAAATAAAGAATAAAATTACAGCGTTCAAAACGTTAATTTAAATCAGGGCTCAATACAAGAGCAGAGCAATACATATTTATTATAGGCAGTTATATTAGAACATATAAATATCCACTAAACAAACTGTCACCTCTAAGTGTTGAACTCTATGTTCACTTTTATATATATATATATATATATATATATATATATATATATAATAGACTTTTAGGTTAGATCATGTAAATATCCACCAAAAACTGTCACCTCTAAGTGTTGAACTTCTATGTTCACTTTTTTATATATATATATATATATATATATATATATATATATATATATATATATATATAATAGACTTTTACGTTAGATCATGTAAATATCCACTAAAACTGTCACCTCTAAGTGCTGAATATATATATGTTATATATATTTTATATATATATATATATATATATATATATAATAGACTTTACGTTAGATCATGTAAATATCCACTAAAAAATTATGCATTTTGTTTCAACTTAAAAATGAAACGTTTTTTCAGGTGGCTAACATCTCTTAGCCACCTGAAGAAACGTTTGATTTTAACGTTGAAACAAAACGTACAATTTTGAAGTGGATATTTACATGTTCTAACGTAAAAAATATATATATATATATATATATATATATATATATATATATATATATATATATATAAAGTGAACATAGAAGTTCAACACTTAGAGGCGACAGTTTGTTTGATGCTAGACGCAATCATCAGGCCACGGGCACTATATTTACACACGTTCTATCTCTGATATTGAGCACTTTATCCCATAAATATAGCACACCTTAAGACTATATTTCTTCATATATATATATATATATATATATATATATATATATATATATATATATATATATATATATATATAGTTAAAATTAGCTTAGAGTACAAAGGAGGGTAAGATGTGGAGAGCCATGATCTACTCCGTCCTGAAGTGACACAGAAGATAAAATAAAAAGAAGCACATGAATTGCCAAACAAGGACAACGAGAGTGATGAAGTGTTAACATTTTCTTAGAGTTACAAAGGGGTGGGAGATTGGGAGGGAAATTATTATCTACTCCCTGAATGGACAGAACTCATAAAAAAGGAACACCAAACTATCAAATCATTTTTTTCTTTTGCTTGTTTTCCTGTTGTCATTTCCAACTATTTTCTTTGTTTACAACGACCCCCTTCGTCTTTTTCTTGGAGAGTTCTTCCATCTCCTCCTGTGGGTAATAATGGCAGATATACGTGTTCAGGAGATAGATGTGCGTATTTACACGAGGGAAACGGAGTTCTTAATTCCGCCCACGTCCAAGCGAAATAACACAAATATAGATTGATTCTTCTTATTCGACTTGTTGACTTAATAACCAAATATATGAAAACGAAAAGAAACGTAGAAAAGGTCTGAATGAAGAAGGTCATTATCAAAAGTTAATTCAATTCGGTTATAGTTCATTGCAAATATAATGAATGGACTTAAGTTCTGGAACTGAAATGAAATTAATCATGGCACATACGCCTCAAAAACGAAACTTACATATAATTGCAGGCTGAACACTTTATTTAATTTACAGGGGTAAACTGTTATCTTTGCACTGTGATGTCTCGGTATATCTCGTTGTGTTCTTATTGTAAGTAGTGTTTACTTATTGCTCGCACTGTTCTAATGAGTCCAACTACACACTGCTCGCCTCTAGAATTGAAATACAAATCACCAATTCCGAATATAGCCCTTTACTTCATCTACGAGTGTAGAGTGCTCATGTTTCACTCTCCATGTCTAGGGAGATCTCATCTAGTTTTTGATTTAAGTACTGTTTATTCATTGCTCGTCCTGTTTCAATCATTCCAAATACACACTGCCCGCCTCTAGGATTGAAATAAAAATCGCCAATTCCGAATATGGCCATTTACTTCATCTACGGGTGTAAAATGTTTTTGTTTCACTCTCCATGTCTAGGGATATCTCATCTAGTTTTTATTTTAAGTACAGTTTATTTATCGCTCGCCCTGTTTCATTGAGTCCAAGTACACACTGTCCGACCCTGAGATTGAAATAAAAATCACCAATTCCGAACCGAGCCCTTTACTTAATCTACGGGTGTAGAATATTCTTGTTTCATTGTCCATGTCTGGGCATATCTCGTCTAGTGCTTGTTAGCACTGCTCAGTTATTGCTCGACCTGTTTCCACTGAGTCTAAATACTCACTACCCGACCCAGGGATAGAACTCACAATTACATTGTCGCCAAATGTCACTTTAATCCACTAAGATATATCCCCGGTTTGTTCTTATTCTGATCAGATTTATTAATTAAAATTTAAATAGGTTAATTTTTGCACACACACACACACACACACACACACACACACATTCATAAAAAGTATATTTTATTTTTGAAAGCCTTTTTAATAAAGAGAATTGTTCTGTTGACAAATTAAATCTATCTCATTCTGTCCATTATCTGTCTATCTGATTTTGTCCATTTTATCTATCTATCTATCTATCTATCTATCTATCTATCTCTCATTCTGTCCATTATCTATCTATCTCTTCTGTCCATTTTCTATCTATCTATCTATCTATCTATCTATCTATCTATCTATTTGATTTTATCCATTATCTATCTATCTATCTATCTATAAATCTGACCACCTTCTCTCTAGACTGTATAGCCACTGCTGATTGTTATGTGTATTGCGCATTTCGGCTTTTAAACTTGCACCTGCGGAGGGCTTTTAATTGGACCTTCGGCCTGGTTCAAGAGTTTGAGAGTCCCTAAATCTTTGCATATTCTCAGCATTGGAAGTTCTCCTGGCTGTCGTTGATACGGGCTTTCATTTGCACAGGACTTTCTTTTCCTCGCTGCAGCCTTGGTTCTTTCGATTGCAATCTGGTCCTCTGTTGGCGAAGGTTTCTTTTAGCGAGACATAGTGCTGCCCTATCCAATAGGCAACAATAAACAACAGAAGAACCCAAGATTGATCGCTGCATTTAAGTATTCCATTAATATTTAATCTTACCTTTTAAAAAAGTTCAGCGATAATTCTAATACCGCCACTTAATTTAAAGACGTTTTGATGTACGTATGTCTTTATTTTCTGTACAAAGATTTTTTTTTTTATGGTTGACTGTAGCTGGATTTCGCAGTTTATTTTAACTATTCCCAAATTTATTTCCAAGTTATAAAAACTGTTATTGTACAACAAAATTCGTCGCAAGTAATCACATTAATAAATCGCCGAAACAATCGCAGAATGGTCTTTTGAGAAGGAGTTTTACCCATTGTTTCTGGTTTAGGATTGGTTTTACGGTTACTTTCAAATGTCTCTTCCAAATCTAAACTTCTAACGTCTCCACGTAAACTGTGAAATTTGATTTACTTTATTTTGTCCTTAATAGGTCTTTATAGGTTCGCCTATCGCCTAATTCAGTTGCCGCCTAAACTCTGAACTTTTACTTACTGATTATTTATTTATTTTGTCCTTCAATAGGAGTAGATTGGTTTGTCATTCTCGGTTTATTGACCAGCAGAGGTTTAGCCTTTGCTTATATTTTATAACTGGGTTTCCGATTCCTTCTAAAATCTTCTCATTCTCTTTCACTCTACGTAGCCCCTTGCGTCTTAGTGTCATTATCACCTTCCTTAAATGTTAAAAAAACAGTGACAGAAGATACCTAGTAAAAAGCTTGTGTAAATCCGTATGCATAAGAGATAGCAAAAATCAAGACATTGCTAAGATCTAAAACATATATATATATCAAAAAGATTTTAATGCAATAGAGCTATTAAGTATAAATTAATAGATATAATGATCTCTCACCGATAGCAAGGAGTTTTAGACACAACACAATCTTCTGGTGCTGAGTGTAGATTGTTGATTTAAATTTTAAAAACCATATTTCGTTATCGTAATGTTGGTGTAGTTATATATTATACTGAGATTACAGTTTTTTTACTATTAAAAACATCATATTTAACATTTTAAATAAACGGTATGTGTATATATATGTAGAAATAAAATATTTTTTTATTTTTTATTATT